TGCGCACTGCTGATGATTCCCAATAAGGATGAAACAGCTGTACAGATGCTTCTCGCTTTTCAGCATAGATTGGTTTGACTTACGGGACGAAATCTCCAAAAAAGGAACATCCCTACTATTACCAACTGGCAACAAGATCATGCCATGTTTAGTCTGCTGTCCTATTCCGTGTTGTTGCAACCGACCAAATGTTGCACCCTTTGAGCGCACGGCGCACACCATACGATCTATACAGAAAATGAGAGCTCAAACATTGCCAGGTTGTCGAGCTGAAAAGGAGTGCAACTGATGTTAGGAATGCGAATACAACGCTCCTCGTTCAAGAAAATCCTCTCTAGCAGAGTCGATACCCCTAAAACCGAAAGAAGTCCCACAAAATAGCCACATGTGGTTTGTGCTGAGCAGCACGTGAAGCCAACAGAAATTCCTCTATCCGGTGTAAACGCGACGGGGTAAAACCGGATACACACACAGCTACATGTCTTGAAGGAAGAAATAAAGCGTTCAGCTGTAGCACCTTTCCGGTGCCTAGCTACGATGCCACCCGAAGGAAGCACGAGGGCTGGGATACTGCCAGGTTGCCCAAGCCTAGACAGGGGAAGTTGAGAGGCAAAGGTCGGGTTTGAACCACGGACCTTCCGGTCAGTAAATTCGCCCTCTAACTACTTGGTCCATTTCACAAATGGGATACCAATGGAAAGTAATGGAGCTGAGAGGTAGGACGTAGCAAAGACAGTCTCCGGATTTCCAGAAGTCACCATCCACTTCACTGACCCAACGTTCTGTGAGAACCTAACGCAAGATGAGCCCATCATGCAATGACAGATAACCTCTAGCTAGACAGTGCGACCGCAAACAGACCATACCTTATCACAGTGTGGCGGTTTGTGTACCTCCATAGCCCACTGAAATATACCGGAGGCTTCATTTTGACACCGGAAGAGTTTCTCACACCAGTCTGGTGAGTGGATAGAAGTCTGACGAAAACAATCGCCTGGTCATCCGGCGGTTGGAAGAGGTACGGCGACTTGTTCCCTGAAAAACCTGTACCACTGTATCGGTAGTATGCCATTGTTTTGCGCTCAGACGTCGTTGTAGTGGCTAGTGATATGGACAACACAAAAGTGGCTTAAGCAAAATCCTCTATCACAATTGACTTGTTTGGAGTTTATCTGGTGGGCACAGAAAACCCGATCACCTGTTCCCTTCTATCAAGCAGCTGAACGAATTTCCAGTTCGGAGTTTGAGCGGGTGTTAATGAGAATTATCACACCTCTTACGGGTGGGTAACTGCGACAGAAACAGCGCACCCCCAGAAGAAAGAAACAAGTGCGCGTTTCTACATTGTAGACGACAAGTCTTGCGCGATGCGTCACTGCACTGACACTCGACGAATATCCGAAGGATAGCGTGAAAATTCGGCCGACGAGTTTAGTGATTTCTAACCAGCCAGTGGCTCGTGGAAACACTTCAGTGTTCTGAAAAGATTAACCCTCCGAGTAGGGTGAGGAAACGAATCAGCTGTGATCTGGTCCTATCTATGCCGAGGATGGCTAAAAATACTAGTCACAAGTAAGAAAAATCACTACCGGCAGTAGATTGCAGAGAAAATCATAACGTTCACTACCAAACAAGGGTTCTGGAGCACACCCATAACTCTTCTATGGAAAAAACTTCCCCACACACCTCAGAACTAATGCTCAAGACGATGTGCTCGGGGGTTCAGGCCCATACAACTTGTCGCCATCTCATTCTTTGTGCTTCATGGGAACTGAATGGTGGCCAAAAGGATCTATAGAGTTTCTTCCAAAAGTGCTGAAAACCTACACCAAAATGCTCCGAGGGCGTTCCATGAGACATCATTGAGGCTGTTTTGGCGTCCGCAAGAGACACTGGTATCGAAAAATGGATGTAGTGTTCATCATGTTGGACAGAAAATTAAAGCTAACACGAGCTAGCACTTGGTGGAATTGGAAAGTAGAGGGAAATTTGAATTGACTACCATTGTAGGGGAAACTAGTGTTCCCAGCACAGAGTTTGTCTATATGATCTCCATAAAGATACGCTCATTTCGGATAGAACGAGTAAGTTTACTAACGTAGAGGTCCTCAGGGTGAGTGAACTTTGGCAACCCCCAATTAAATTGCAGGGAGGGTGATGATAAAAACGAATGGATCATACAATTATTAACGCACCTTTACCGCTCCATCGACATCCAAAGACACCAGGTTTTTCTCCCCATCGACCAATCGCTGAATTGCCGCGTCGTGATAAGTTGCCGAATTAACTGAAAGTGCCTGGAAACGGAGCAGGTGATACTGAAGATATTTCGGCTCCTTTACGATACAAGCTGCTCACCGGAGTGGAATGCGAGCAGTCCTGCTACACTCACCGGAAGAGTTCAAAACTAAGAATGTTTTTTCAGAAGGGGACCATATTCCGTTTTTATAAACAGACTAAACCACGTTTTGAGTGCGTCAGGCAAAAGTATTATGGAAAATCTGGAGAAGGCAGCACCGGAGGATACAATGGAGCAAACAGTACATGCTTAATACGATGATCGTCAAAAATGGAAACGGCGTCCCTGACTTGACACCATGGTTGGTTGAAGCACGAGACGAGCTAAGTGAGAACGGAAGTTTCAACTGAAATTACCAAAACCATTTATCGTACATTACTAGAAAACAAATAAAAAGCCCCATCGACCAGTTTAGGTTGTCACAAAGGAACCAAACACTGCTGATTCTACGGTTAGATTAGTGCCGAAATTTATTTATCTCGTAGGTTTAAAAGCTTCAGACGGTATTCAAAAGTTACTGCCAAACGCATAATAGTTCCAATTGTAGATTACAACCAACCTTACCAGTTGTCCAGACTCTTCTTGATTACCTTGCGTATCAGCCTCTTTAGATGCCAATCGCAGTAAGTGAATAGAACCATCGTCAAGCCCAACTGCAGCAGATGTGATGTGTCGCAATCCAGAACCTCCCAAGATGGCAGTCGAGGCGACTGATGCCTCAAATGGGGTGAACACTTCCAAACTGCCAGTGAGATCTAGTGTGGAGTGGGAGGAATTTGGCTCCAGCTCGTCCTCGAAGTGACGATATATGCCAAGCCCACCTGTCCAGTAATTTCCTGCGACCAACATGCCAGAAAAGGAGAAAATTATGCGGCGCTGTCACAAGCAGGCGATTTCCAGAAAAGTATGCTGTTACGCAATACACTAAGGGATTGGCGAACAGATATTAAATGCAAATCGTCATGCCACTGAATCAGCAGTGTTCAGGGGGAGGTTAAAGCTCGAATTTACTAACCGGAACGTCAGCGGTTCGAACCCGATCGCTCCATCTCGACATCCCCTATTTAGGCTTGAACAACCTGGCAGTATCCAAGCCCTCGTGCTTCCTTCTGGTGTCATGGCAGTTAGACACCGAAAGGGTGCTACAGCTGAATGATGATACGCTACTGAGTTCCAGCAACGAGTTGTAACCACAAGCATTTAACTATATTTTGATCGTACACATGGACTGTCAAAATGGACCATACAGCAAAAGACTGTCATCCGACGAAGCTAGCTGAAAGCCCGTCATGAATAACTGACATACGTCAAGCGAAATGTGCTCAGAGTTGACAGAATAGTCACAGAATAGTCATATTGAATTTTGTACTTGGTTATTCAGCCTCTAGATGGGCTAACTCTGAACATCAAGCCACGCTGAAGGCGTCTAAAGATAGACGGTGTTCCGCCACAGGACCCTTTCGGTACCTGGCTGCTATGCCATCCGAAGGAAGCACGAGGGCTAGGATATTGCCAGGTTGTCCAAGCCTAGACAGAGGAAGTCGAAAGGCAGAGGTGGGGTTTGAACCACGGACCTTCCGGTCAGTGAATTCGCGCCCTAACTACTTGAGCCATCCCACCCCGTCTAAAGCTAGACGGCAGTTAAACTACTTACCAAAGGAGGAAGACAAGCCTACGAGTAAGGTTCCGTTACATAAGCCCAGGGCAGAATAAATTGGGAGCATAATTTTGTCACCATACATGGGGGAATCGGCCGATTGAAAATCTGACATCATGAGACCAGAGGCAACCATGGGTGTAATTAGCCTGTGGGAAAAAGAAGAGACGTTAGGTGGATAAGAACAAGAGGACATCCTTGTCTCATTCATGCACCTCTCAGTCCTAGGACGGAGGAAACGAGGATCAACGTGCATAACTCTGAACAGGTAGGCCAGTTAGCCATAGCTATGATCATAACCGCATTATCCATGGGTTATCGAACCCCAGACAAAGGCTTCCTCAGCTAGGGGTAAAACTTAACACATATTGACGTACTACGAACTGAACGAAGCACGAGGTCTGAGGCTGCAAAGTTGACCATGTCTAAACAGGAGCAACAGAAAAACCGAGGATGGGTTTGAACCGTGGAACTTCCAGCCAATGGTTTCACGCCCTAACCACTGAGCCACCGTAAGCCCCATGGCACACAACTCATTTCGTCGTTTCTTACGTTGCATTTAATTTTTCCAATTCAATTTATCAGCCATAAACCGTGAGTCATAGGCATATTGGTTCCGAATGTCCTCTGCGCGTAGAGGCCACGTCTCTGATCCATAAAGCAGCATGGATCGCACCGACGCGGTGTAAACTCTTCCCCTGACGGAAAAGCTCACGTCTCATCGGCGCCATAGGTGTTGGAGGTTGGCAAAAACTGTCCTGGCCTTTCCGATTCGAGAAATAATCTCGTCTCCAGCCACTCCACCGGAACGTATACAGCTGCCCAGGTACATAAATTCATCTACCACGTCGATTGGCTCACCTGCAAGCATGAAATGTGGGCTTGATCCCACCCAGTGTTGTAGCAGTACTTTACACTTTGCGGGTGTGAAGCGCATGCCAAACAGTGCGGCAGAGTTATTTAGGCTATTTAAACTCGTTTGCATTTCGGAAGGATCTGAACCAAGGATAGCAATATCGTCTGCATACCTAGTGTCCGTGAGAGAACGACCCGGGGGCATTTCGACTCCCGAGGTTCCAGAAGCAGGCAGAGGAATTTCAAGCAGCATATCAGTAACAAAATTAAAGAGGAAAGGGGAAAGTGGACAACCTTATCTTACACCACTGGACGTGGTGAACTCAGGCGAGAACTTGCCGTATACTCGTACGCGCCCACAGGAGTTCGCATACAGTGCCCTTATAAGGGAGAGAAAACAGGAAGGGACACCTTTGATCGCCAGGAGCTGCCAAAGTTGCTGACAATCGACAGAATCAAAAGAAGCTTTCAAATCAAGAGAAAAAGATTAACGTGGGCGTCTGAAGGAGTGGCGATGTTCAAGAAATCGTCTCACGATAAAGATATGGTCAATGCATTCTCGACCAGGGCAAAACCCAGCTTGGTTTTCACGAATCTGTCTCTCTCGATAATCCATTAACCTGCACAAAATAATGCCAGAGAGCACTTTAGATGAGATGGATACGAGGCTGATACCACGATGATTTCGCATGACGTTCTTGCTCCCTTTCTGAAAAACAGTAGAGGAGCTCCATTCGGCTGGTATTCTGTTTTCGTTCTAAATCTTCTGCAGCTTAGTCGTTAGACTGTTCACCAGGACCTCACCACATTCTTTGAAGAGCGCCGGGTGTAGATTATCCGGGTCAGGTGCCTTGTCGCGCTTCAGGATTGAAATCCCATACTGGATTTCGGTTGCTGATGGTGGACTGGTGTCAATGTCTCGTTCGGGTTCTCCAGCTGTTGTGTTGAACGAGACCAGGTGAACTGTTCTTGGAAGTGCTCACCGCTCACGACGGCGATTGGGGGAGTGAACTGATGTTCCGTCTTTTTCGCATATTGTCTAACTGACACCTGCCTTCTTTTGACCCGTTGATCAGATCAGGTGAAACAGAGCATGGCTGTTGCCTGCAGCGAAAGCCTTCTCCATCCCCTGGGCCTCCGAAATCCACCAGCGTTCTGTCATTCTTTAAGCTCCTGATTATCCGGTGTTTGAGGGATCACCGTGCGCCATCAGAGTCGGGAAATGATGGTATGGCCATTCTGGTAGAAATAAGATCCGACGACCTCGAAGATATCCAGTGTTCATTGAGCCGAGTCAGATGAGCTGGACAAACAGTTCTGAAAGCGGACAGCATTGTTTCTTTAACCCGCCTCCATTCATCTTCCAAGCAATCTTCGCCGTCCACATGACTGTGAGTTCTCAGCAACTTCCTAGCCAGATCAGCTCGATACTCCTCAGCCACTAAAACTTGTCGAAGTTGATGAACTGAGCTGTTCTCTTTCGACACGCGTAATGCTGGCGGAAAGCGAAGTGCGAAGCGGTCCCTCACGATGGCGTGCTCGGAGTCAAGTTGCGTACCCCACAGGGAACGACAATCCTTGATTGAGGCTCCCCATAAGTAAATGATAGTCATACGGTCCTACTGAGTCCACGAATGTTTTGTGGTAGGTGGCCTCCAAGTAACTCGGTGTGTGCGTTTGTGTTGGAAGTTCGTACTGGCCAGGAACAGACGATGATCTGCACACAACTGAAGAAGCCGGTCTCCAGTATCCGTACGCTCAACATCGACACCAAGTCGACCACCCAACTGTGCTTCTTTCGGACTTGGTCGTCCGACTTGGGCATTATATCACCGGCCAGGATTACTATATCCGTCCTTTTTACCGGCCGAAGTAGTCGTGACAGATCTTGATCAAACTCGTCCTTCTCAGACTCAGAACTGCTACCTGCTGGGGCGTATACTGATACGACAAACAAACACGGTTTACCACATCGACCTGCGTTAATCTTAACTGAGCCAGACAACCACACAGAACAAAATCAACTATTTACTGGGATCCAGTCCAGTAAGGCGCTTTCAGCCTTGGGGCTGAGTGCAACTGCCACACCTTAGATAACACGAGCCATGGCGTCAGGGTCACCGGATGCCCGAGGAGTGAAATATGGGACATCTAGACTCGTCTTAAGCGGATTGAGGAGCACGACCGAAGTGGGGTCTTAACACAAACATACATCGATAGAGAGGAAAAGTAAGGTTTTCGCAAGGGATGCTTGTTGCCCAATTCGATATAGAGTATGGACGTTGAAGGCTGCTACGTGGATCAGATCTTTTGAGGTGAGTAGGTGATTATTTTGGTTTGTTTTTCTAAGCGATGGTTGAGACACGGAGCAGTGGTTAGGGGATTGGTAAATAGATTAGTTGCACTGCATTGTACGATGGGTTGGGAGGGAATGCGGGAGAAGGACGGTGAGCGAAGAGCTGCAAGGGAAAATGATACTTCCCGATTGCCCATGCCGAAGAAGAGGGCTTAGTTGAGGTACCCCATCTTGAGCCTTTGACTCCAAAGTCCGACCCACAAAACAATGGGACGAAGTAGGGTTTTGTTCTGCGACCCTATCCCTAGCCTCTGACTCAAAAGTCTGGACCACAAGACAGCGGTTGTTAGGGTTTTCTTGGGGACCCTTCCCGGAGCCAATGGTTCAAAAGTCTGACTTACTTGGCTGTAGGCGGCCGGCTTGGCCCGAGGGCGCAAGGAATAAGGTATTATTGTCTCATTCCTGATGCGGCTGCGCACAGCAGGTGCCTTTTGAGCAGCACCGGGCTCTTTGGTTTTAAAGATATTTCGACCGTATTGAATAATGCGCCGACGATCACGGTCAACCGCTGGGCGATCGGAGTGTGCAGTTTTTTGGGGCCGACCTCTTCTAACCCGTCCTTCCTCGGGGAAAGGCAGCATCTCTGCTTCCATAAATATGGACATGTTGGTCGCATGGAGGGAAAACCTTACCGCCCTCATACTCCTATTGCATAGGACAGTACGACTTTGCCTCCGGACAGCGATTACTCGCAACACGGGGGCTGACTGTCCTTCGTCATGCTGTTCCCCGTTGGCCTTCCTGGAATGGTTGAACCTTTAGGAACTGAGTTCCAGCCAGTATAACTCACAGGATCATTGCAGCACAGAAGCCCGACCACCACGACAAGGTGACAGCTTTGCGTCGGGCGACCACAAATTAGAGCTCCTAGAATACACGTTACAGTCTAGATAAGGTGATTCCATCTGGAATAAAACTCAATGGTCGGTGTGGGAATAAAGCGGTATCCGTTAGTCCGATCGACTGCTACAAGCGGATGAGCTCAGTCCTCGTCCAAAATGATCAAACACCGAAATATATATATATATATATTCGCAACGACAATCCCAGAAAGACTTCCATACAGTTCCACACGACCTTCGAAAGGGAGCGCCG